CAAGAAGGGGGGAGGGGTTGAATATTGTTAGTTTTTCTTTCTTTTATTTATTTTATTTTATTTATTATTAACTAAAAACATCAATTCCCATAATTTAAGGATTGATTTATTTATTAATTTTCTCAAATTGTGGCGAACTTATTTATTTATTTTCTAAAATTGTGGATTTGAAAAACTATTATTTCAACATTATAAAATTTAAGTATTTTTTGCTACGAGATAATTAATGTATTCTTCAATTATATTGTCTCATTATTGCTAATATTTTATAATTTGTCTTTTTTTTTTCTTCTTTTTTTTTTTCAATTTTTTGGTTATCGGATAATTAAGTTGTATTTTTTTAGGTATAAATTTGTTGCAAAAGAAGAATTGATAAATTATTAATTAAAGTTATTAACTCTATTAAGGAATTTTTTAGAGACAAAACTAAGGATAATTAGGGAAATAGATTTCATGCAGTTAAATAGTAAATACAGGGTGATATCAACCATTAGATTTGTTATAATTATTTTATTTATTTAACAAACTTTAAATCTACACCACATATGGTTAATCTAATGGTTTACAAAGTCTTGAATGTGTGACTGTGTGTTCCTCTGATTGCTAAGGATCACAGTATGATAATTATGTTATGTTTTTTAAGTATAAATTTGTTGCAAAAGAAGAATTGATGAAATAAAGAGAATTAAAATGATTGTGTGAGTAAGATTATGGTGATTATATTATGTACTTTCTTAACTTTTAAATTTTTTTATATTCTCAATTATATTATCATTTAATTAAAAAAAATAATTTAATTATGTTTTTATTTGACTTTAAGATATATAAATTTAATTATCATGATCAAACTTAACTTTAACTAACTATATATACTACTCTTGATTATGTTTTTTTAAATATAAATTTTGATACCACAAAATGTATTTTTTATTAAAAAAATATTGTTGGAAAAGTTAAATCATGGAAGAGATTGATTTAAAAAACTCTTATTATTTATTACTTTTATTATTCTTATTTTTTTACAGTTTAAAAATATATTTTTGTTAGTGTTTTAATCTCAAATATAAATAAAATATAAATAAAAACTAATTAAATATAATTCACAAACTCATCATTAACATGGACAGTAAATTATAGCATTAGGTTTCAAATTTTCAGAGACCTAATTTTTTTATTATTATATAAAAATATTTTTAAAAATATACAACATCAAAAGTATAAATTTGAGGCCGCGTTCAAAAATTATATTTCAAAAAGACTATGATTTAGATATTTAATTGATGAATTTGAGATGAAATATATTATTTATAAATTATTTATTTAATTTATTAATTATTTTTATAAGATTTTTACTTAAAATAGTCGGAACATAGGAAATAATTTGATACTTCTATCTTTGTTAACTTTAATATCTTTAAATGTAACTATTTAATCATTATCATTTTTTATTAAAATAAATTATTTGATTTAATTTAAAAATATATTTTTAATATATAATAATTATAAATAATAATTTAATAGAATTTATCCAGAAACGGGTGGACGTTTAGTTTATATACAATTTGCTTAAGCAACCTTAAACTGAAAGATAAATAAAAATGAAAAGAAAAAAAATTAGGCACTAATGATATGTTTGTGATGAGGGAAGAGAAAAGAAACAAGAAACAAAAAAAAAAGATGGGTAGACACGTAAATAAACAAAATAGAGACCCTTTTATGAAATTTAAAAGAAGACAAAGCTTCTCACTTACCCCATTCAATATTTTAGGAAACTACCACTTCCCTTTTCCTTCATGTAGATAGATTCTCTCTTTCCGCGTCCTCAACTCGTTTTCCCAACTCAGTCGCGACTCGTCCGAGTCCAACTACCTCATGGCCAATAACCCTTCCGACGCTCCCGCCGCCGATGACTTCCTCGAACAAATCCTCAGCCTTCAGACCTTCGCTTCCGCCGACTCTGGATTGTCCGGACCCGACATCTCTCTGACGGGAACCTCGCCGATGATGCTGCAGCTCAACTCCTCCGATGCTAACCACCGCCTCGCCGCAGGCGGTTCGTTTCATGCGCCGGTGTACCAGTTAGGGTTGAGCTTAGACCAAGGCAAAGGAGGAGGGTTTTTGAAGCCGGATGAAGCTTCTGGTAGCGGGGAACGCTTCCGCAACGACGTCGTTCATGGTAGACCTAATAATGTAAGAATTTATCTTTCAATTTTCGTTCTCTTTGAAATTCAGCTCTTGTTAATGCCTTAGCACTGACAACCCGAACAAGACACTAATACAGCGACGATACTAATATAGGGACACCGATAATAATGACTGGGTCGGTGTTACATAGCTTAGTTTTCATGTCGAAGCAAATCTTTTTTTATAATAAAAAAAATCATAATTCACGTGTCATGCACATGTATTGTACCAGTGTATTCAATTTTAGCAACCTTATGGAATTGTTATTGCATGTATAAATCAAACAAGATATTTTACAATTTTTGATGAAAATAACACATGGGAGTGGAATGTTAATTTGTTTACATGGAATACAACCTTGTGGAATTGACATAAGGGATCCATATACAAATCAAAGATGAAGGAATTATGCATTAGGATTTGATTTGTACTGCGCAAGATTTTTGGAAGTGTTATACTGATCATGGATTGGTTTGAACATTTCAGGATTGTGATTTGTAAGTTTAGTTATTTATGTATGGTTTGCTTTTCTGTAACTTTGAACTTCTTGAATCAGATAGGATATATACACTTTACTTTTAGTATACTTGAATAAATGGTTTATTGTTTTAATAGTATTTTTTTTCCTTTCCTGTGTAGGTTTTTCATGGGCAACCCATGCATACAACTGTTCCTGCTGCTCCACATCCTCCAGCCATGCGTCCTAGGGTGCGGGCTAGAAGAGGACAGGCTACAGATCCACACAGCATAGCTGAGCGAGTGAGCTTCGGATATTTGCATGAATATTGACTATTTGCTGGCTTTTATGTGTAACATTTTATATTGTAGATTAACTTTGTTTGATTGCAGTTACGCAGGGAGAGAATAGCAGAAAGAATTAGGGCGCTACAAGATCTGGTTCCAAGTGTTAATAAGGTATGTGAAAATTGTGTACAAATTTTTATTCAAATCATAACATTTGAACATTCTTGGCATATCAAGTTGCTAGTTTTCTTTATCACACGAGTCCTAAATAAATCATGAATTCATGATTCTGTTGAAGCCGAAACTACTTCTGTTTCTGTACAGTGTGTGGAGCTTGTGTGAATACAATTTGTTGTTTGAATTGTGAATTTCTTGACACCCCTTCCCCGATTCCTACATGTTGTCTTTCATTTACTTTAGGATGGCTGAAGAGAAGTAGGCATTAATATAGACTGAGGGGATTCTTGATTCCTGCTTAGTATTCTATGTTTCCCTGTCAATATATGTTTATAGAGCCGTTGATTTTATGTATGGAGATTTATATGTACTATAAAGCAACTTTCGTAGACCATTTTTCTAATGCCATGTTCACAACTAATTACATGCAATGGTTTATATTTATTACATGGCATCTGCATACAGAGATGTTGAATTCTGGAATTTGTTCACATCAATAAAAAATCTTCATTCATTGCTGATGCATTGTATATTAAAGAACATGAAATTTTAAGAGTGCTTGATTTATATGAAATAAGTCTACTGGATTTCAAAGGGTGGTATGTGTTGAATGATATGTGTGACAGCAGAGTTGCTGTGTTGCGTGATTGGCTGATTGCTGTGTTTTTTTTAAAGAAGGTAATGATGCTGAATTATTCCATTCTTTCTAATATTATGGTGAATGTCTATTCTGTCAGACAGATAGAGCTGCCATGTTGGATGAAATTGTGGATTATGTCAAGTTCTTAAGGCTTCAAGTGAAGGTAACCGGCTACTGTTCTCCTTATTATCCCGTCCATTTTGTAATTAGTGACTGTTTATAATTATATCGGCCTTTCACATTCTCACTTGCATTGTATGTTAAATCTGTTAGCCTGTGTTTTTTTATTCTCACCTTATTGAGTTCCATTAGTTATGATTCAGCTCATAGTCAAAAGTGAAAGCAACTTCTAATAACTGTTGATTTATCTGCCTTTCAGGTTTTGAGCATGAGTCGATTGGGTGGAGCAGGTGCAGTGGCCCCACTGGTAACCGATATCCCATTATCATCAGTCGAGGTGATTATTATGAAGAATAAGTAGTTGAAAAAACTAGTAGATATACATATTAGGGTCGGGATCCCCTTTTCGCAGGAGTAACTTTTTTGTATACATTAAATTTCATAGTTTGAATATATCTTCAAGCAATCTAATAAATGTAGTGGTGATCAGGAAGATGGCAGTGAGGGTGGAAGAAATCGGCCGGCTTGGGACAAGTGGTCAAATGATGGCACAGAAAAACAGGTCGCTAAGCTTATGGAAGAAAACGTTGGAGCTGCCATGCAATTGCTTCAATCAAAGGCGCTTTGCATCATGCCCATCTCACTGGCATCTGCGATATACCAGTCACAGCCACCGGACAGTTCTAGTATAGTCAAGCCTGAAACTAATCCACCTCCACAGACCTAGGGGCACAATCCATGGACCCCATCAAAGGCTCACAGAAGACTTATGAAACCCACAAATCATTTTGTCTGTTTCACACCCTATAATTAAGTCATTGGCAAGCATCATGTTGCAATCAAAGTCAGATACCATGACTCTTTCCTTTTTGCCTTTCTCTCAGCTTTTGTCCATACAAAGTTTAATATCAATGCCTTAGAAAATAGAGGCAGCCCCAAATTTCAAGGGGAGGAAATTGTCAAAAGTTCACTTGATATGCTTTTCTCTCTTTTGCTAAAATGGGTGGAGGGTAGTAGTGGAACATGATGCAAGCACTTTCATAGTGGGGCTTAATTTTTGTGTAGTGGGCTGTGGGACCCTTGTAAAAGGTGATATTATAGAATGGTGTGTATATTTTAGTAGTAGTGATTTGAAATGCAGGGTAGAAGTTGCTTTAACAGTGCTGGGATGTGCCATGTCCAGCAGGAAATAATTGTGCTTTTTGGTTATTTAAGGATAGGGACAACTTTTTCTATTCTGCCGAATCATAATTGGATTTTGATGTATTGGATGGAGATGGAAGGGAACAAGTGTGGGAGCACATATATATCAATCATTAAGCTGCAACCTTATTCAACTTTCTCGAATATAAGAGGATTAATCTGTCACCCTCACACTTCTTATACCCGACACTCACATTTTTCTAAATTTTCAAATTGTCAATGAATAAATTTGAAGGTGGGAAAAAACGAAATTTCTGATATAATTTTTGGATATATATATATATATATATATATATATATATATATATATATATATATATATATATATATATATATATATATATATTTTATTTTATTTTGAAATTTTCAATTACTTACTATTGGAAATTTTGAAAAAATCCGATATTTTCTTGATATTTTCAGTAGTGTAAAATTTAAGGACATAAGAGTAATACCACTATTTTTGGGGTGAAAGAATAAGTATGGAGTGACAGGTTAAATCTAAATCTTTTTACTATTATGTTTTCTTTTTTAAAATTTAAGGGGTTCTTTGAATTAGTTTTTTTTTTTTTAGTTTTTAAAAATTATTTTGTAAATTAATTCTAAAAAAGAGTTTCGAAGAAAAACAGTAAAAGAAATTATGTTCTGAAATTTTATTTTTAAAAATTGTTTTAGAGTTGTACAATATTACAAATTAAAACCGTTTTACACAATTAAATCAAATGGGTTTTAATTTTTTCATTTTTATAATTTTCTCGAGTTCTTAATTATCCGACTTACCTTTATATTTATATTTTTATATTATATATTATCTCTGTTTCTAATTATAAGATTATTTTAAATTTTTTTTGTTTTTTTTTATATCTTCAATTTTTAAAATACATTAATCATTTTTTTTTTCAAATATGTTCTAATAATATTACATCTTTTTTTATAATATATAATAAATACTTTTGTCTAATCATTAATTATTTCTCTTAGAATTTTTTATAATATATAATAAATACTTTTGTCTAATCATTAATTATTTCTCTCTTCTAAGAATAAATTTATAAAATTATATAAATTTAATATTATAAACAATTTTCTTAATTAATATAATTTACATAATAAAGTCTTATATTTAAGTACGAAGAAATTCTTTTATAAGATTTTTTTTACAAATATTTAGATGTATTAATGATTTTGATTCCAACATTATTTTTATTAAATTATATTTGAAAATCATAAATTTGTTTTATTTTTTTTTTACGAAATTAATTGTAAAATAAATTATGTAAAAGTAGCATACAATTTTTGCAAATTTATAACTATAATTATTATTGTCTTGTCTCGGTCCCATAATGATTAACTTTACCATTTTATATATATTAAGAAAAATATAAAAAAATAAAATAATAATATTTTTACTCTAGTATCCCTAATTATATATTGAAAATAATAAAAATTTAATTAATTAAAAAGTAAAATAAAAAAAATTGAAAATTAAAATATATAATTTATTTTAAGATATTATTTTATTCTAAAAAGATCATTTATGGTGGGACAGAGGGAGTATTTTTAATATCCGTTGATTTTCAGGGGTCTTGTAAGAGTTTGAATCAACTCTGTTTGTGAAAGTTCAGTTTTGCTCATGTTATTTAAACTGATGATTGGCAAGTGGCAAAATAAAAAGAAAGTTGTATATTGAAGAGTAAAATATAATAATAATAATATTTTTTTTTTAAATAAAAAAATATTTTTAATTTTTAATTTTTTAAAATTGAAAAATACAAAAAAAAAATTATGTAATTAATTAATTTCATAATTTTATTAATTAATATTTTATATTTTATTAACCAACTTCATACTTATTACAAATCTGATTTTATTAACTAATTTTATAATTTCATTAATTAATTTTTTATATTTCATTAATCAACTTTGTTTTACTATTAAAAATTATTTTTAATATTTGTGTGTATATTAATCAACTTCATCATTTTATTAATTAATTTTTTATATTTCATTAATTAATTTTATTTTATTATTAATTTTTTTAATATCTGAGTATTTATTAACCAATTTCATCACTTTATTAACTAATTTTTTACATTTCATTAACCAATTTTATTTTATATTTTATTAATCAACTTTATCTTATATATTAAAATTGTTAAGTATGTTAAACAATTTTTAGAACCAAAATTAAGGTTCTTTTATTAATTATATATATTTATTTTATTTTATTTTATTATATTAGTTATTTATTAAAAACTCTTAAATTTCTCTCATCAACTTTAAATTTCTTTCACTAACTTTTATATTTATTTAATTATTATTTTAATAATTTCTCCCACTAACTTCTCACCAACTTGATTCATTCTTTATTATTTTCTCCGTTGTCTATACAATTTTCCTTTTGCATATTTATTCTATTATTTCATTTCTTTGATTATCAAATTATTAATTTCAACATAACTGACAAATTTATACTAATCTTATTACGTTTACAATATGTTATTTATAAGATTTCAGCAATTTTCTTTATTCAAGTTTATTCTTTATTATTTCTTCTTTTATTAATATTGTAATTTGTATTTATTTTTTTATTTCTTATTTATTCAATTCTTAATTTTATTATTGTTTGCTAATTTTTATTATGGTTTTTTTATAGGTACAAATTTTAAGTGACTTTTTGTTAAAGGAATTTTATTTCTTATTTCTTCAATTCTTAGTTTTATTGTTATTTGCTAATTTTTATTATTTTTTTGTACGTACAAATTTTAAGTTATTACAGAGGTCTTTTATTAATATTGTGAGTGCAAATTAAGTATTGATGTTTGATATTTTGCTATAACAATCTTTCCCATATTTTCTCTATATTTATCATGTAGTATCATGGATAAAAATAAAAATGTGAATTTCATTCTTTCTCTATTAACAATTATCAATCAATTTTATTTATTAACAATTATCAATTATTAGTAAGAGATTGATTTAGAAATAGATAAATTAAAATGGAGGATCACAATGATGACAAAAAATAAGGACTCTCATTTTTTTTTTTGAAAATTGATTCTCTTCTGCATTCTTTTTAATGTCATATTTGTTAAATTGTAATTCAGTGTGTCGAAATTATGTGTCGAAAAGATTTGATTTGTTTAAGATTTAAATAGATTTGATTTAAGTCTAGAATAAATTAGATTTGATTTAGTAACAAAATAGATATTTTTGGCTTTGGGCTTAGGGTGTAAGCTCAATTATAAATAGAGGGAGTAACCCCTATTTTTGTAAGCAAGTCATTCACAGTATTTTGCAGTTGCAAAGTGAATAAGAAAGTTTTCACAATTTGTGAGCAGAGAGAAACTCTGCAGAAATTATTTGTCTTGTCTTCATTTCTTTATTTGTCTCATAATTAAATTTTCATTGTGGTAGAAATTTATCATAGATATTTGATGGATTTCCAACATATGGTATCAGGAGCTTTGTTTCAATTCAAGGGAAGTATCAATCAAGAACGATTGAAGAATTCACGATGACAAGTTATGGGAATGCAAACTATCCAACAACACTACCAATTCTGAAAGTTGACAACTATGAGAATTGGTGCAAACAGATGAAAGTCTTATTCAGGTGTCAAGGACTTTGGGATCTTGTAAAAGATGGAGTCGAAGCGCTTGAAGAAAACGCTTCAGAAGAAGAAAAGAAGAAATACACAGAATCTGAGAAGCTGAGTTATAAAGCATTATTTATAATTCATCAATGTGTTAGCCCAAACAATTTTGAAAAGGTTAGTGATTCAGAATCTGCAAAAGAAGTTTGGGAAATCCTTGAGAAGTCTTTTGGAGGCGCTGAGAAAGTGAAAGAAGTGAGGTTACAAACTCACAAAAGGACGTATGAACTGCTTCAGATGGAAGACAGTGAAAGCATATCTGATTTCTTCACTAGAGTTACAAAACTAGTAAATCAAATCAAGATATCTGGAGAAACATTAACAACAAGAGCTGTTGTTTCGAAGATCTTGAGATCTTTAGCTCCTAAGTTCGACCACATAGTGGTGGCGATAGAATAGGGGAAAAACTTTTCGAAATTGACAAAGGAAGAGCTTAAAGGGACGCTTGAATCTGATGAACAAAGAATGAATGAAAGAGGTGCATGCAAATCAAAGAGTGATGTGGCCTTGCAGGCACATTCAGCAAAAGAAACCAAAGGCAAAGGAAAATGTTTCGACAGAGGTAGAGGTGGCTACAACAAATCGAATGGTAGAGGAAACCAGATCAAAGGAAACGTGTAGAATAAAAGAAGACCATACCAAGGCAACCAAAGAGGTGGTGTTGCAAATAGAGGAATAGGTGGTGGTCAAAAACCTGATAAGAGTCACATTCAATGTTACAATTGTCAGAAGTATGGACACTATTCGAGTGATTGTCCAGAAAAACGAAAGAATCAAGAAAGTGATGCAAAGCTTGCAAAACATGAAGAAGAAGAGATGATGTTGATGGCCACAACAAGAGATGAAGATAGATTCAACGACCAATAGTACTTGGATTCAGGATGCTCATCACATATGTCTGGAAGGAAAGACTGGTTTGTCAATATAAAGCCCTCAATGAAAAATATGGTAAAATTTGCAAATAACAATACCCTAGCAGCTGAAGGTATTGGTGATGTTATGATTATGAGGAAAGATGACAAGAGGTCAGTAATTTCCAATGTGTTGTACATACCAGACATGAAGAGCAATTTGCTCAGTATAGGACGGTTGGTCGAAAAGAATTATAAAGTGTCAATCGAATATAAGATGATGAGAGTCGTTGATGCAAATGGGAGATTAATCTTGAAGGCTCCTATGTCTCATAATCGAACCTTCAAGATTGAACTAAATATGATGGAGCACAAGTGCCTTTCGATTGCAGCTAGCAGAGATGAATGGATATGGCATTATAGACTAGACCAACTCAACTTCAGAGATATCAGAGATTTGAAGAGAAGAAATATGGTTTCAGGATTGCCAGAAATCGACATTCCAAACGAAGTATGTGAGGAATGTGTGCAGGCGAAGCAACACAAGAATAGCTTTAGCAAGGATGTAGGAAGCAGGTCGAAGGCTAGTCTTGAAGTCATATACTCTGATGTGTGTGGACCAATCCAGGTGGATTCGATGGGAGGTAACAAATACTTTGTTACATTCATAGATGATTTCAGTCGAAAGCTGTGGACTTATCTTATCAAGAAGAAAAG